CTCTTCGTAGTTTTCTCGTTACCTTTGAGTGCTTCTGTTATTGCAGGAATACCGCCACGAGGAGTTTCTCGAAATAAGCGTCGATTGAATAATGAAAAGAAGGAACGAGAAAACTACGAAGAGTGGACAGAACAAGAAAATCGGTAAGGAACTGTCGTATTAGGTTGTTGCATAAGTTCTTTTCCTCGACTTTTTTGTAAAGTCGAATTCTTGCGAAGAAGAGGACGAGTTTCCCGTAGGCATCTTGCCAATAACCGCTACCGAAGATACGGCTGCATATGTGTACTCATATATCCATGCAGCATCACGGCCGCTTCATACCAATCCCTTCGCTTCATAATTTGCTTAGCAAATGAATCAATACGAGCGTCAGGAACGGTCGTCCATTTGTGGGCGGGCGGGCGTGGCGGGCGTTCGGGTCGGTATGTTGTAGCTTGATAGAGCCCTTATAAGGGCACCTTCCTTTGAAAAAGGCAATGCGCAGCGCCCTCTCAGGGGCGCGGAATTCCGTCCTTGCTAGGCGTATTAATCCTACTCGTCTTTGGGGATTTAACGTGCCAAGTGCCTTTGAGGAACTTACAAAGTATAAGCGAAAGCGGGAAGTTACAATAGGAACTTCGAGGAGCTGTACGCCGAAAAAAAATCGCCGCATCGACTTATACTATTTAATTTATTTCCTGTGCGTAATCTTTGCGTACAATGACGCGCCAGAACAAGTCCAATGTCGGATAGCAATTGTTCACGATGTGGAAAACAAAAACGTTATTGGCGGGGAAAAGGGACAGTGGAAAAGAAAATGAAAAAATCTGCGAGTCCTTTTATAGTGTATTCTCAATAGGAATGGCCGACTTATGCAGTCCTGGATTGGATCTCCGAATGGGCGAACTGACCCACCTTTGCTATCGGTATGATTGTCACATACGATCCTGTGAACCGTAACAATATACTGCATCCTGAAGTAGAAGTTATCCACGCACAAAAAAACTTGACGAATCCAAAAGAAGTGGAAAACGACTTACCTTTTATCACCATTCACCGTTTTTCGTACCTCCTTGATAAGATCAAATGCTGAAGTGTGGTCCGGAGTCTGAACTATGCCTCCTTCATACCTGAAAGCTCGATAGAGTTCAGCGGAAGTGAGGATCAAGCTTGCCTCTGTTTTTCCCTCACCTATCATCGTGTCCCAAAAATATCGTTCTGATAAGGCGTGAGTGGCTCATGCCACTGAAGGAACAGCACGCCGTCTTCAACCTACGAACAAAAACCTATTAAAGAGAAAAGACGAAAGAGAAAGAAAATCCAAAATACAAAAGGAGCAAATACTCTCGTCATCTCTGTGGACCCTTTCATGATGGGCTTTGTTATACCTTTCCTTCTCTCTTTACCCAAGGGAAGAGCTTTGAAAAAATACTTACATATTGTGCGTGCCGTTGTTAATTTCCATTAGACCACCAGTCCATTCCAAATCTCCAGTGCAAACGGTTTCTTTGAAGAAATCGCATTTCTTAAGTACAAGTTTCAGAAACGAGATGTACCCGTTGAATATTTCACAAATCAGTTTTTGTACAATTTTGAACTAATTATTGAAAGTTGTAGGTTGGTCATATCTGACTTGCTAAACTGTGTGGTAACAGGAGAGGAGAACTGTGCCTTTCCATTAAGTATTCGAGGAAGCGACAATGGAGCGCACTCCGGCGAAGAGGAGCGGGTGGGGGGGGGGACCACACTTCAGCATTTGATCTTATCAAGGAGGTACGAATAAACGGTGAATAGTGATAAAAGGTAGATCGTTGGTTCACTGATTCCGGTTTGTAGGTCTCACTCTGGGGAAACCTGTCAACTCATGTGTAGTGGAGTGGAAGCAGTAACCCGACTGTGGCTCCTTGCTTTGATTCTTTTTGGAGTTCACCGCATTGAAATCAGATAGCGGTACTGCTGCGGATGGTGAATTGAAGTTTGGCGTCTCGTCGAATATCTAGAAGCTGTTGGACCTCGATGCTGAGATTGCGGAGTGCAGTTTCCGGATTGCTCTCCAGCTTGCGTAGAGCATGAGTGCGAATATCAGCGTATTCAGCTGCAGCCAGACCACCAATCCAGACAAGGCACTTCATCTGTTCCGGCGTTATGGTGTTGAACTCGGCCATCTCATGATTCACCAGTCCAGTGTAGTCTCGTAGACCTTCGCCATTGCATTGAGTCCTGAGGTAGGCATAGCGACGTGCGAATACAGATGAATTGTGCCCGAACAGCTCTTGCAGGATCTTCACTGTTTCAGCGGACGGGAATATCAGCAGCTTTCCTTGGCAGAATATGGTTGATGAATCGTGCATAGGCTGCCGCATCCAGCTTTGACACGATAATCCGTGCTCGGCAGCATCGTCGAGTGAGGCGCCATCTTGCATTATGATATCCTCGTAGCGGCTGTACCAGACGTCGAAGGTGCAGCCGTTCTCTGGATCGTGACTGAATTCCGGTAGGCGGGAAGAGAGTGAGTTGATGACGAATTCTGCCGACGTTGTGTGGGCTGTCGGTGGGGCCATTGTCGTGAACATGCCCCTCATCTCCATCATCACGGCCTGCAGCATCTTCCTTTGAGTCTCCGCTTGAGCTTCGAGGATCGCCCGTAGAGTGTCCGCGTCCATGTCGAGTCGGCTGCACGGCGTAGTCGATCCTGATCGCCAGATGTAGTGGATTCAAAGCAGAAGATTTATTAGAGAATACGAATAAGATGAATGATAACCAAGAAATCGGTGCCTTTTTATACTGGTAGGCCCTGGTCAAATAATCTAGTCAAAACCTATAAGTAACGATCAAATGGTACAATTTGGGCGCCTAAATGCGATCATTTGTTGACAGTGGTGGTCAGCCTATTACAAATTCTATTTCTTTAAGATCATGTAAGCTCCCGAATGGCTCTCTAGATGGGTCGACTCGTCGATGGGACAAACAAAGGTGCAAATTGCTCTCCTTCTCTAGCTCCCCCCCCCATGTCGTCACCGAACTGCACCCGACAACGGCTCGACTCGTAGGCGTCCAAACGATTATTCCGAATCAGAGAAGATCATGCTTTTGTCGATGGAAATTCGTTCGCTGGGAGCTACTTCCATGCGATCCCACTATCAACGCTAAGATATAATGGAAACGCAATTGTGTGGCGGCTCAGGATAGGACAAAAAGCTCCCTTGCGTACGACATTACGTCTTTGCATTTCGTAAATATGACTAAGATGAAGCTGCACAGCCTAGAATGCACGCCATTCAGCTTTCACCACGTAGCCCTGACATTGCCCCATCCCATGACCACCTCTGTGGGTCTTTGGCTCATCATCAAAATCATGTCTCTTCGTTGATGAAGACGAGCTCGAAATGTCTTTCCTCTTCCAGTCTCCCTTCTACAGGGGCTCAGGCTCCTCTGACAATGAGAAGGAGGCCCGAAATTGCCTGTTCGTTGGCAGCATATCGTGGTTGCTGATGGAAAATATATACGTGGGCGATCGGGGACTGAACGCAAGAGAATAAACAGTTGGGCAACCAAATAGTGAATAGTGTCCTATGAGTTAATGGCCAATCTGTAATCACTATATGGCCCCAGAGTACAGCATGGTGATGCGTGAAATGGTGGTATCAATACGACCCCCACCTGAAAGTGGGTCTTGGTACGACCCCCCCTAACTAAGGGAAGGTCTCAGTGCGACCCTCCCTCTTCCCCAACCAGGGCACGCCATCTTTGTGATCATCACAACAGGGGGGTCGTATTTGCCCGCGATGGAGGGGGGGGTCGTAAACGCATGGCCCATGTTGAAGTGGAGAGAGCGGTGATACACGGTACAAGTGAAAAGAAGCTCAAAA